ACCATTAAGTTAGTTTGCTTGCCTTTCATTTCATTGTACCATTAAGTTAGTTTGCTTGCCTTTCATTTCATTATATTTTTTATTTTGTTTAAAAAAGTAGTGGTAATTCATGTATTTTATTTTATGAGTTGTATTCATTTTCTTTTAGTGAATGAAGAAAATATTCAACAAAATTCCTTTTTATTCAAAACATTGCATACATAAAAAGCAAACCACAACCAAAGCATAAAAAATAAACATCACACAACCAAAGCATTAAAAAAAAAACAAACCATAACTAAAAATACAACATAAACATAATACATTAAAAAAACATCTTCACTTTTGTTTATTGTCCTTCATTGCCTTTCACCGCCCACAAATGCTCCTCAAGTCAACTTGACGGTGTTCATGAATATAGGACAATTGCATCTCCGTGTAGCACTCAATCATACGATGCATCAAACTACCGTCTCTAACTAACGGATCATGCTGCACTAATTCTCCATTTGGGCTCATAGGTTTTTCATAAATTCGTGTTAAGGTCGTGTTCATGGGATCTGGTTCATACACTTCATCAGCATCATAATCATACTCATCTTCCACAATCATGTTGTGGAGGATGATACAAGTCATCATTATACTCTTAAGCACCTCCTCATCAAATAGACGTGCCGCTCCCCTGATAATTGCCCACCGGGCTTGAAGGATACCAAAGCACCTCTCCACATCTTTTCTGTACCCCTCTTGATAGGCAGCAAAAAAAATTTCCTTATGGGATCGGGGATGTGGAATTGATTTCACAAATGTTGTCTACCTCAGGTAGATACCATCAGCTAGATAATACCCGTTCTGGTAGACGATATTATTAATTTGATATGTGATAGTTGGGCCTTCATCTCTCAGAACATCATTGAACACCGGGGATTGATCCAGGACGTTCAAATCATTTTGAGAGCCGACAACACCAAAGAAGGCGTGCCAAACCCATGTATCAAAACCAGCAACTGCTTCGAGGATGATACTTTTCTGCCCTTTCCGATTGCCATAATCCCATTGCCAAGCAGTTGGACAATTTTTCCATTGCCAGTGCATGCAGTCAATACTACCAATCATCCCAGGAAATCTACGAGACTCAGCTTTTTGTAGAAGCGGTTGCAGCTCACTAGGCGTAGGTCTGCGCAGGTAGTCTCTGGTGTACAGAGTTTCCACTGCATCACAAAATCGCACCAAGCTCTCCAAAATAGTCGACTTCCCCATCCTGGCAATCTTATCCACCTGATCAGCAGATAACCCTACGCCAACATTCGTAGCACAGCTATGAACTTTTGCTCGGGAAGAAGCCCCAAATTTCCAGCATAATTTTCTTTTGAACAAAGTAGTCATCATAATTGCAAATATCATGCATTACTTTATTGAACAAATGGGGTTGCATTTTATATCTTGCTCGAAAATGAACATCAGAGTTCAAAGATTGTGGGATAAAATAATCTTCCATCAGATTCTTACCCCGAGAATGTCTATGTCTGTCCACATTCGGTGCCCGGCCTTCTCGTGAACCATGACGGCTCTGGTTGTTTTTCTCCAGCATAGCAACGGCCACACCAAGTTGCTCATCTAGATCTCTCTGCGCCCTTTTGCTTGCAGCTCTTCTACGCATTCTTGCTCGCCTTTCTCGCTCTTGCCTCTCCAAAACTTTTTTCATGTCTGACATTGAGAATGGAGAATGAAATCTAAAATCTGAGAAATGAAATCTAAAATATGAGATGTAGAGAAGATATGGTGTGAGAGGTATGAGCTGAGCCTCTGGTTTTATAGAAAAATTTAGGCAGATAGAGATGACACATAACGCAATTTTAGAGGGTGAAAATATTATCTGAAATTTGAAATTCACAGGAAATTTGAAATTTGAAATTTATATGGAATTTGAATTTTGAAATGTATCTGAAATTTGACATTTTGAATTTATCTGAAATTTGAATTTTAAAATGTATATGAAATTTAGCTGAAATTTGAAACCGAAAATCTGATCCGATATGAATAGTATTGACACGTAGGAACCCAAAAAAGTTATCCGAAAATATTATCCAAATTAATTGTTTAAGTAAACAAAGTTGTGAAAAAAAACAAAAAAATGAATAGTATTTGCCATGGCATGCCTTGCACTGCTGGAAGCACAATTTTTTTTTTGTGCTAGGGCAATCACTATTCACATGAACAGTAGCTGTCCTAGGACTCCCATTGCCAAGGGGCTAACTGGTGGAAGTGCTCTTAATTCCTCCTTATAAAATAGGGAAATAGCCTCCAATGCCATCCATTTCATAATTTTAACTAAAAATACCACCATTTCCCAATTTTTTCACAACTATCACCTATAAATATAAAATTATTGTCCACTTATTGCTGATTTTTCACAAGTTCAGAAATTTTGGTCTCTCTTAGCTCACTCAGCTCTCTCTCTCTCTCTGGCACAGCTCTCTTTCTCTTTGGTATATGTCTATCGCAGCTCTCTGTGTCTCTGTCTTTACTCTCTCTTGTCTGCTCCACTGAGATCTTCGTCGCCACCTACCACACATCCACCGGAAAGGCCCTGGCTTTCACATCGGCTTCCGCTTCTTCTCACTTGGACTCACCGACCCAGCACGCCAACTCACCCAATAGCTCACCGGCGTTGCAGAGGTCGCTCACTTCTGTAGCTGCCAGCAGGATGAAGAAGGCATTGGGTCTCAAATATCCGGGTTTGGGCTCCAAGAAGAGTCTTAGGTCCGGTGGGTCTCGGTCGGGACCTGGAAAGCCCAAGCGGGTTATGACGGTGGGTGAGCTGATGAGGATCCAAATGGGGATTTCTGACGCTATAGACTCTAGAGTCAGGAGAGCTCTGCTTGGGATTTCTGTTGCTCAGGTGAGCTCAAGCTTTTGTTAAGCTTTTGAGTGGGCAGAACTGCGGTTTCCTCAGTCTGCACAGGCAGAAGTGACTGTTTTTGAGGGCTTCAATGGGCTAGAGATTGCACTGTGAATTTTGTTGAGGTTTTCCATGTTTGGAGAAAGCTCAAGCTCTACCTGTCTTGGTTTTTTGCTGAACCAAATTTGTAACGAGAGAAATCTCGTTTTGAATGACTTATTTCCTAAGTCTGAGCCTTGGGAATTCTGATCTGAAGCTGGTTTCACTTGAACTTCAAGTGGGCTTTTTGGTTGATTTTTTGAGTTGTCTATTTGACTGATGGTTTTCTTGTGTAAGATTTTTGTTTGATTGGATGTTGAATTTTTTTGTTGTCCTTTGCCCCGTTCACTCCTTCTTGTATTTATAGTAAATGTTTTTCTGAAGTAGGGTGATTTTGTTTAATAATGGGCGGCAAATCTTTTCAAAAGATATCTCCTTTTTAAAAGAAAATGGAAAGAAAGAAAATAGGATTTCATCAGTTTGGCAGATAGGCTCTCAATAGGCAATCACTTCCCTGTTTTTCTTGAAAAAGAACCTAATCTCTTTTCCCAATTTTAACTGCCCCTTATGAGATTTCATCCATGATGGTTAGTTTGATTTCTTTTCTGGACAGCTCTCTGCTTTCCTGCTTATCTTTCTCTGAGATTGTAGCTTGCTTATCTCTTTGGGAGAATCACCTTCTCTATAGAATAGAAGGGAAAATCTCTGAAATATATGTGTAAGAGGGATTTTGATCTTCAGATTTTTCAGGGTTTTCAGAACAGCTTGATGACATAAGTTTTCCAATCACTTCTTCTATGACAGTTGCCAATGTTGACTTTCCTTTATCCCAGAGATGTCACGTGGGTTTGTTTC